TGGACACAGCCACATCAGTGACTAATGTCTCAGATCCATGAGCATGTCAAAGCCTTCCTCTGGTCTCTGGTGGCTGTTTACAGTGTGTATAGGATATGTCCACCATAGCTTTCTCCTTCTGGATGTTCATCACCTGAAAACTGAACCCCTACAGAGACTAGCTATGAAGGTTAGCTAAACCTGACCCCTTGACCTGGCTATACACTATAGACCCCGCCTCCTTGTTTATCTGTGTACAATAAACTTTGTCTCCTTGTTCAGCTGTATATAGTGGCTCCAATTCTCTGTTCTACTGTAAATATTAAACATACTGGGCTCAGTGCTGCTGTGGTTTCTCTATGAGCCCAGACTACCTGGTCCTAGATTTTCTACGTGTGTCTGTGATTTCTTCGTTTTCTCAATGCCCCAGTTAAATCAGACCCTAGAGCTGTGCAGAATATGGCAAAGCAGAATCCAAACCGGGACAAGGACAGTGGACACTGACTACAGGTGACTTGGATCAGTTAGACAAGGGACCACTCCTGAGAGAATAATAAAGGGAAAGGAGGAAACAGCAACATAAGAAAGAGATCAGGATAAAGGAAAAGAGATAGAGAGCACACATTTCAGTTTGTCAGGTGTAAAAGCCTTTGGATAAGCAGAATTCAGAGATGTGCTATATGTTAGCACTTAGAGATTTGGGGAACAAAGAGAACCTAGACATAGGTAGATACAGGGGAGATTTCAAGAAACTCTGAAAGTGAGTTGATGGCATTTCAGCTTCATTGGTTCTTAAGAGGCCTACGCTTCTCACTTTCCAGGGAAGGGGCGATGAATTTGACTCCTGGAAATAAATGACAAAGGAGAGAAAAGCAGAGGAGTGAATACACAGCTGAGGGATTCAAGTATAAGTTTCCATTTTCGCTTTCAGTTTACCTGCTTTCAAAGTGTTATATTTGGTTGAAATTGACCAGCATGCAGGTGGTGGAGACCAGATCTGCAAGCTCAGTGCTGGGGAGAGGGTGATAGCAACCCCCACAGCAAGGAGATGGTTGTCCCTAGCTTGATGCCTCAGCACCAGGGAGGTGGCAGTATACTGAAGGAGAGAAGGTGGCCAATAGCAAAGAGGCATGTAGCCAAAGGAGAAAAATCTCAGTGGCTTAAATGTTACCCACTTTTCTGTTTGTTTGTTTGTTTGTTTGTTTGTTTGTTTTAACAACATGGTTTAAATATCCCATTGGCTCTGTTTCTGATTTGTCTGGTAACTGTATCCATGCCAGTCAGAGGAGAAGTTGCTGGGCTTATGCTTTTCAGTAACTTGGTCACACCCTTTGATGACTGTTTATTCTAGTGATTCCCTCTGTTTGGAGGGGGGCATTTTTCTAACCATCCAGAGTCCCAGTGGGCTCCATGCAACTGTTAGGGGCAGGTTTTAGCCCTGCAATTTAGACAGGTTTTAATATGTCACACACGTGTGTGACAGCAACTCCTGTAATAAGAGCAAATATAATTGGGAATTCCTTAGGACCTGCCTCCTCGGTGCTTGAACCCACAATAATAAAGTGGCTGTGACTCAGATTTGTCAGCACATCCTAGGAAAGCAAAAGGCTTGTGACCGGATTGGTTCCTCTGCTGTTGTTGCAAGAGCATTCTTTGGTGACTTCGCAGCTTCAGTCCTGTTAAAATAGCCTACTGTTTGTGTTGGGCACAGCAGCTGTCATGCTCTTCCTTCTTATCATCATTACAGTTTAGTGTCGCCATTGCAGCGAACTACCCCTTCACTAAGTGTGAAGCTTCAGGCTGAACATCCAAAAATAAGAAAGGTGGAGATATAGGGAGCCTATGAAACTCTGAGTGAATGTGTGTTGTCGACACGGGCACAGCCATGTCAAGGACTGTAGTCTCAGACTCATTGAAAATTGGTAAAGACCCACTCTGCCCCTGAAATGAGACTCAGAGTGATGGCAAGGCCTTCCCTGGGGAATTGAGTGTGAATGTTGGTAGTGGGTGTGTGGAAAATGGCCTCCATAGTTTTCTCCTCCTGGGTGTTTATAGCCTGAGGTCTGCTCCTCTAGAGATTTTGCCTACTGAATTTAAATAAGCATGCCTCCTTGTTCAGCCGTGCACCCTAAACCCTGCTTTCTTGTTCAGTTGTATGTAGTAAACACGCTGAGCTTCTGGAGTGCTGTGGCCTCTCCCTACTGTTCGATCCCAGTTTTTCTGTGTCTGTGTTTCTGTCATTTCTTCATTCTCTCACCGGCCCTAGTCAAGGTTCAGGACCCAAGTTGTGCAAGGACAGGACTCTACAGGAAATCCAGTGCTTGGGAGGAGAGCAGCTTTGAGCCTCAGGACAGAGCAGCTCTGGGGAGGGATTCAGTGCCACCAGTAGCTAAGGAGTTCCCCTCCCCCTCAGGGCTCTTCACTTGGCAAAACTATGTCTGCACTAGGAGGCAGAGAAGGATATCAGGGCAAGCCAAAGGGAAGCAAAGTTAGTGAGTTCTTTAGAATGAGTACATACTTTAGATTTAAGGAGAGGGAAAATGGTAGGTAAAGGGAAGGGAGAGAGAGAAAAGATTAAGAAAATTTAATGCTCATGAGAAACATAGGTGCAGGATTCTAGAGAGAGTCACACTTAGGTGTTTTGACAATGATTCTGTCTGTGGCTTTCTAAGTTCTGTTGTCTGACGAATATATTTTGCAGGGTATAAAGCTAAAGCAAAGCTACCATGTCTGGTTTATATAAATAAAACTGCAATGTAATTGACAGGGGTACATTGCTTAGATTTAGGCATGTGGGAGGAGTGATAATGTGGTCAAACAAAGTCACAAACCTTTTGGTCCTAGGTAAATACATTAAGATTTTTATTGCTGTGATAAAACAGCATGGCTTAAATCACTTGTGGAAGAGAAGGGCTTATTTCATCTTAAAGCTTGTAGTCTATCATCCAGGGAAGTTAGGGAAGAAACTGAGGTAGAGGTCATAGAGGAGTGCTGCTTATTGGCTTGTTCTTTATTGATCTGCTCTTTTTTATTGTAGAACTGCATAGGAATGATCACTACTAACCATGTAACAGTCTCTGTTAGGCTGTCTTGAAATCTCCTCTCCCAAAGAAATTAGTCCACATTACTTTTCAATTTAGTCTCAGGCAAATCCTTAAGACAAGGGCAGAAAGCAGCCACATTCTTTGCCAAAATCCCACAAGAATGGTCCTTAGCCCAGTTGCTGATATTGTTCCTCTCTGAAGTCTTTTGAGCTAGGCTCCTTAGTCCACATGGCTTTCATCACTACTGTCTTTCAAGCTCCTCTCATGATGGCCCATTAGCTCTGCTTGCAGCACTCAATGGCTTTTCTAGTCCCCACCCCACCACCAACACAAAACCAAAAAAGAACATAAGAACATGGTCAGGTTCTTCACGGCAACAGCTCTCTCCTGGTACCAAATTCTATATTGTTCTATATTGGTCTTTTTTTTTTTTTTTGCTATGGAAAAACATCATGGTCAAGACAAATTATATAAGAAGGCATTTAATTAGGTTTACAGTTTCAGAGAATTAGAGTCCATGGTGGTGGAACAAAGTCATGGCTGCAGAAATAGCTGAGCTTACATATTTAACCCCAAGCAGGAGACAGAAAGAACATTCTGGAAAGGGGTGAGTGTTTTTGAAACCTCAAAGTCCACCTCCAATGACACACCTCCTTCAACAAGGCCGTACCTCCTGATCCTTCCCAAGCAGTTTTACCAACTAGGGACCAAGTATTCGAACATATGAGCCTATTACATCTGGAATCAACAAGAACTGAAAATAGACTTCATTTGCTTTTTTTTTTTTTTAACATCCTCATTTGAGATGTCTAGGAAAATGTACCTTCTCTCTATAGGTAAGCCTGACTGTCAGTGGGGAAGAGAGACTAGACCCCAGGGTGTGGGGCTTCTTTCCCTGTCTTTCTATCTTACTTCAGGGCCAGAAGAGACACTGTCTCCCACAAAAAGACTTCTGATAGTGCCGGCAACTCTCCCAGAAAAAGACTTCTGATAGTGCCGGCAACTCTCCCAGCATCTAGACAGATGTGCCCTTCCTGGATTTTGTGTTTTCATTTTGTGTCCGACAAACTGCAATGCTGCTGCAGGCAAGCTGGGACGAAGCTAAGAATGGCTTCTGTCCTCTGGTTACGCCTTAAATCACCTCAAACCCATTTCCCTCTGTAGTTCCTGTCTGCAGGCTATCTTTTGCTCAGGCAGAAGCTTATGCTCATTGCTGCACCTACAGCTGAACACCTTCTCTTGTCAGCAGCCACCACTTCTGGGTCTTTTGCTCCATTATTTGCTCACTGAGAAGGTCAAGAGGGTTAATTATTGATGTCAAGATCGTGAACTATGTTACTACTCTTAAACGTAATTTGCATTAACAGCTGTTGTAAAATTGCCACTCCTTAGGCCACTATTGTCCAGTGGTTTTTCAGCTCTCCTTTTGCATAACAATTACCTGGAGAGCCCTTGAGAGCCACCAAACCCAGCCAACCCAAGGCTGAATGACCCAGAAGCCCAGTGTAGTCATTACTCTCCATCAGGCATAATTGCCTCTCCATGTCTTTGTATGAGGTGGTCTCAGTCCTTGACACACACAAAGGATCAGCAGAGCTTCATCAATACCCAGTCACCTGTCTCCCATTTTGCAGCCAGCCTGGTAACCGTAGGATGCATTTGAATTTTCAAGTTGTTCATTCTTAAACTCTACTCTATCCCTAGCTCCATTATTCTTTATAAACCCACTCCCTTCAAGTCACCATTTCTCAAAATATAAGCTGCAGTGAACATAGAGGAGTTGTGAAAAAAAACAAGAGCAACCAGCAATGGGTTGGCTTTTATAGTCTCCCTAACATATGTTTTGTCCTAACTTCCAGAAACCACGAATTGTACTTTATTTGAAAAAAAAAAAAAAATGGGGCCTGTTGAGCTGGTTGCTAGGTTTGCTGAAGGACATCGGCTGTGGGATCTTTGATTTATGCTAAGATTGAAGTCATGGTTGGTCCAGAAAATGATGGTCAGTTCCAGTTCACTGGTATTAAGAAATATTTCAACTCTTATACTCCCACAGGTAGAATGAATTGTGTACTGGCCACATATGGAGGCATTGCTTTCCTGGTCTTATACTTCAAGTTAAGGCCTAAAAATCCTCCAGCTGTGAAAGCAACATAGATGGATTTTGAAATGTCTAGCCTCATCTGTTAAGTCCCATGCCTGAAGAAGCTGATGTCAACTCATCATCTAATACTCAATTTGTACAATAAATTATGAACTTTGAAAAAAGGAAAAAGAAAACGAAAAAAAAAAAAAAGAAAAAAGAAAATCGGGTCTTGGGGCTGGGGAGATGGCTCAGCGATTAAGAGCACTGACTGTTCTTTCGGATGACCCAGGTTCAATTCCCAGCAACCAGAAGCACAGACATATATGTAGGCAAAATACCCATATGTGTAAAACAATCAAATAAAATTTTAAGAAAGAAAAGGCATATTTACAGAAGTAAGGTTTTGAGATGTCTCGACACTCCTGAATTTTCTGGATGGGCCTTAAATGGTGTTGGGATGGGGACAGGGAGTTATCACAAAGATGAAGGCAAAAACTGGAGGGATGCAGCTGAAAAATGAAAGCAGTAAAGAATGGACCCTCCACTAGAACTCCATTGAAAGATCTTGGTTTGGGAGCTCAATGGGGATGCTAAGAGAGATTGTTCTTCTGGATAAGAAACTTATTGAAAGAATCGTTAACCCATGGGCAGAGACAGCTTTATTGTGGGGACTCAGGAAATTCATGCCTACATGGCAAAGGGAGGTCCCTTTTTAAAGGTTTCAGAAAAATGATAACATTTTACATCATGACTCTGAAGCCAGGTTGTCCCTAGTTCCTGAGCAGCAAGAGGAGGGGAGGAAATTCCAAGGAAAGAATATGTGACTCCAAGAATGTGTCACCACTGGTAGCCCTCATATGTCCCAGGGAGTCTGGCAACTGAAGATCTATATACTTTCCTGTAGGAGTGAGAATGGTGTCTGTTAGTCTCCCGGAATCAGGGCACCTATGCATTCTGTTTACAGACTCATTGATAGGCTATCTGTAGGAGAAGGGTGTTGAGGTTGGTCTGGCGCTCTGTGTATACAAAGGCTGAATTCTGGGCCCTGAGATCTGGTTGCAGTCTGGACGAGGACATTGTCACGTATAATGATCATTGTTGTGTAAACTTTGCTTCCCAATAATCTCTGATTGGTTAATTAAAAAGCTGGACAGCCTACAGCTGGACAGAAGAGAGGTAGACAGGACTTCCGTTCCAGGTCTTGGGGTCTCAGATAGGGACCATGAGGAGAAGGAAATAGAATGAGAGAGGGGATAAAGAAGATGTAGAGAAAGTAGGTGGCCTGATGGAACAGAAACGGCCCAGACAGGACCTATATGACAAGTAACATGGGGCACATGGCTGGGAAATAGCAAGACTACCATAGAGGATTAGGTAAGGTGGTGTGCACTTGTAATTTGAGCACTGGAGAGGCAGAAACAAGCTAATCCTTGGCGTTTGCAACCTTCTGCCTTCAGGAGACAGAAACATGCACACTCTGACTTGGAAGCTAGCCTTCCTAAGAGGGAGTTCCAGGATAGCCAGGGCTACACAGAAAAACCCTGTCTCAGAAAAAAGAACATGGAGAAGTCAGGTTCTGGTTAGAACTGTTAACAGGGGCTGCTGTTAGGCCACAGCCACTACCACTTAATTCTCTGTCTCAGGAAAGGTGCAGCCAGGAATCTTTTCAAGTTGTGGGATCTGGCTTCTTAAAGAGTGACCACTGTCTTATAAAGGGTGGATTTAGGGTCACTGAACCTCTTTGTTTGCCATTCTTTCCAATGATGATCACATTGAATTAATCTCCTTTCTTGCCTTTCTATTTTATTTATCTGTGTTCTAATAAGCAGAAGTTGGAGTTGTGGCTCCCATCTGTAATGTCATCCCTGCAGATGCTGAGTTTCTTACTTAGGGTTTCTATTGCTTCAGTAAAACATCATAACCAAAAAGCAAGCTGGGGAGGAAAGGGTTTATCTAGCTTACTCTTTCATATCATTTTGCGTTCTTGAAAGAAGTCAGGATAGGAACTCAAACAGGGCAGGAACCTGGGTGCAGAAGCTGATACACACATGCTGCTGACTGGCTTGATCCCAATGGCTTGCTCAGCCTGAATTCTTACAGAACCCAAGACTATCAGCCCAGGGATGGCACCACCCACAATGGGCTGGTCTCTCCCCCCATTGATCACTAGTTGAGAAAATGCCTTACAGCCAGATCTTATGGAGGCATTTTCTCCACTGAGGCTCCTTTCTGTCCGAAGACTAGCTTGCATCAATTTGACACAAAACCATCCAGTACACTGAGACAGTGAAAACTGCAACAAGTTCAAGGCCCACCCAGGCTACAGAGTCAGACAAAACCAAAATGAAAATTAATGAAATAAGCCCAGACAGCAGGTGGTTATGCAAGCTATGAGGATGATAAACCAGGTTAAAGGGATAGAGAAGGATAGGGCTTTCTAGTGTGGGTGGAGCCACTCATGTCCTATGTTTGGTTTATTACTGAAGGTGTTAGGAACAGAGCCTGAGCCCCTACACCCCCAACAAGCTAGGCTGGACTATGCATTTTCAATAGCTCAGTTAAACAGATAAAGTAGAGAGCTGAGAAAGGAGATTAATCCAATGTGGCAACATTGGAAAGAAGGATAAATAAAGAGGTTCAGTGACCCTGAGTCCACCTTTCATGGTCTTGACATGGAGTTGAGGTTTAAGTAGAGGCCAGAGGTATAAATGACTAAGCAGTCGTGGCTAGGTGTGCCCCTGTTGCCGTGCTCTTGGCTCCCTCGGTCTCTCCTGCAAGGTAGTCTGACAAAGCTGTCAGAAATGTGGGAAATCTCTGCCTATAGGACAATCTCCTCTTCCCTTGCCCAGCTCCACATGTCAGCCTTTTTCCTATCCCAGCATAAGATTCGTGGAGAAATTGCAGCTTCTGGTAGTCAAAGGAGGAGGCACAAATATCTCCATAGAATATCCTCACTTCTGCAAGAAAGAATGAATTCACAGAGCCTGACTTGGTCTTTCTAATTTTGTTTGCTGATACTCCCAGAAGAATCAAGGAATGAGAGAGTTCAAAGGCTAGAAGCAGAAAATCAGATGGCAAAGGCACTTCTAGTCAAGAGAGTTGCTCACAGTACAGCATAAGGTACCAAGTCTGCTTCCTCCCCTGGGTCTCTTCACCTCTCTTAGCTGGCCTGCCCTATCACATCTGGCCCTGGGACAAAGCCACAGAATCCACCTATTTGTGCCTTTGAGGCTTTGAACTGCATTTCTGAGTGGCAAGTGGGCCTGGAACAGAGACCAGCCAAGCTGTGGAATATGAGGACAGGTTTCCAATGACATGGAGTCCGGCGTGAGTAGAACACAGAGTGGAGAGAGCAGAGTGGAGAATTATGCTGGACAGGCAGCTGGGGCCAGACCATGCAAGACCCTAATGGCCAGGCCGGCAGGCAGCCTCCATGTTCTCACTGATGTCTGCTGAGAGGTGCCTGGCAGACAGCTTACATTTTGGCATAGTGAAAACAAGCAGAAATGAGCGTTGGTGGTGCACACGTTGAGTCCCAACACTCAACGTGGGGCAGAGGCAGACAGATCTCTGTAAGTTCAAGGCCAGCCTGCTCTACAGACCAAGTTCTGAGACAGTCAGTGATACACAGAAGAACCCATTCTTGAGAGAGAGAGAGAGAGAGAGAGAGAGAGAGAGAGGGAGGGAGAGGAACAGGAAAGGAGAGAAGTCTTGTGAGAAAGAACAAATTCTTTGTTAAAGAAGATGGAGTTTAATGGTGTGGTGTGGTGTGTTGTACTTTCTAAAAAAACTCTATTACTTTTGTTTCTTTTTTCTTTTTCTCCCTACTCCGTGCCAATCCCTTCCATCACCCCAACACCAGGTAAGAGAGAGAGGAGCCACAGTTCTTTCTTTGCTGCTTTCTGCTGGTGAGGGTCTTCAGGTTCCTTGGAGCCAGCCCAGTCCTCATTTCAGAAGATCTCCAACTTCTTGTCTCACAACAGCAACCAGAAGCTCCAAGGTGAAAGCAGAAGCAGCCTTGTTCTTTCTCCAGTCTCCACTCGCTGGGCTCTGGCATTTATTCTCTCTCTAGAGTCCTCAGAGTCAAACTATCTGCAGCTGGCAAAGTGCTCTTTTTAGAGCCTCCAAGAAGCAAGTAGTCTGCCGCTGTGAACCATCTGAATCAGTCACACATTCCACACCTGGGACCACAACAAAAAACATGTTTATATCCTGTATCACCACAACAGCCGTGATCCATATTTCTGACAGTATCTCTTAACTCCACAGAGACTGAACTACTACCAGACCTTGAACCAAGGTAATAATATGCCCTGAGATCATTTAAGGCTATATACTTAACCTGCTATCCTACTGTGCACATCGCCTGCTTAAGTTTAACTTGCCTTATAGAACATATTGCAGCCAACGTGACTATGCTTTGGATTTCCCAAGCAATCAGCTTTTACAATTTAAGCTAATTCATAGCTTTTCTCTTGAATTAGGTACTCTTTTAGGCCCCTGACCCAGAATATTGTATACCTGTTGTAATCATTTGTTGAAAGCAGCCAACAGGCCGGAAAGCAACCTTATACAGCAAATATGCCACAAATGTTGAAAGACGCGTGTGGCTATCACTTGAAAGCATCAGTTTGTGGTTGGGAATGCTATTCTGGGTAAGTTGTGGTAAGTAAAGTAACTTATTCCCTTGTAAAATTTTGTGAAGGCTTTCTGTAAAGAATCCTTATTCCAGTCCCCTACCATGTTCTCTGTGCTAGTCAATAAATACAGAGCAAAGCTCTTTTTTAGGGACAGGTCCAGATTCAGACAGACACACAGGCACAACCCACAGAAATAAACAGATCGGGCACACATAACAGACAGGATAGTAACCGAAAAACACAGAAAGACAGCAGACACAGGGAGAGGTATGGAGAATTCAAATTTGGGTTTTCTCTTGGTCAAACTAATTCAAGAGGAAGTTACTTTGTTTCCATCCCTGAATGTGCATAATGAAATTAACATTACTTTTTCTTTTTTAAATTCTTATTTATTTTTTTATTGAAAATATATTCTTCTCTCATATAATAAATCCTGACCATAATTTCCCTTCCCTCCACTCCTCCAAGCTTCTCCTTACCTCCCCTGTCCCCAGATCCACTCCCCATACTTTCCTCTTCAGAAAAGAGCAGACCTC